AAAGCTTGCATTATATCTTTAACATAATTAAACAAAATTTGATTGGCTGAGCGTTATTATCATTGAATCGCAATCGTACATCCGTTTATAATATTTTAATTCATAAAAAAAAAAAAAAAGATTTGCTGATAAATTATAGCGTAAATGTCAGAATCTCGTTCTTGTTTGCGTGAGCGCAACTTCTTTAAAAGTTGACTTAAATAGGAACGAGCTACATCCAAAACAGGTAAATACATGTAACGCATCGATAGTATCGCGTATATACGATCTGCTCCGATGGGCAAGATATACTCCAATTACGTAAGTCATTTACATATTATCCTCGTCACACTGGCTGTGATAACTATCGATTATCATGATTAAAACATTATATCAACATATCACACAAATTTCCTCGTCTGCGTCGATTCGTATCGACGATTCGAATGTGCGTAAACGCTGCGATAACAGAAAGCATAGTGACACATTAAGGCTCAATAAAGTACTCTGACGTGTCTCATATGTTGACTTGTAATACGTTATTACAAAGGAACATGGATCTTACGAAACAAACGATTCTGCAATCGAGCGAAATCATACTAGCTCACCATTGAAATGTGCATATTAATTCTGGAATGCATATTATTACTTTACCTAATTCGATCACAATTTTTATATTATAAATAGAATACTTTGAAACAAATTCCAATTATTAGTCGTGAATTTTCTGTACAAAAATGTAAAGAAAAATTATTATAGATTTTATACATGAAAGAAACGCGTCTTTTTTTCAATAACTGAGATGATCTTTCGATGAATCTGATACATTCTGTATATTTGTAACAAAGGCATCAAAGTTCTAAGCGTAAATCTTCGATTAATCTTCGTCTGCAATTAGTTGCATTAATTCATCGCACCGTCATTCGCCATTAATCTCGCAGTAGTCATAACTGGTTTAACCGATCGTATGTCAAGTCCGGCATCCCGTACAACGCGCAGTGACGCATGATTCCATCTCACTACTGTTTTTCGCGCGTAACTTTGTAGTAAACGAGATTAATAAGATACCAAGACATGGTAATTTAAGATATAAGTTATCCGCCCACGTGGCGCCGTATGATTATACTATAACTTTAAATTTAGTGATGTGTTGTGACATTTTGTCGAGAGAAAACGCTGCTAGCACAATAACAAATTGTAAGCTTAACCGCGGCATCGGTCTAGGCACTTCCTCGATACATCAGCGATGTCGACGCTCGGTTCTTTCGCCGGTGCGGGGTACCAAAAATAACGCGACGAAGTCAGGGAACGAGTGAAACAGTTTTCGGGTGAAAACACGACAGGCGCGAGGACGGGAAGGTCGTTATTTCAATTAAATTGACCGACACAGATTAGCAATATGAATTCCGCTGTGTTCTAAATTTAATGCAACGTCGTGTGTTCGCCGAGATACAAGGAACGCGGTTTACGGCTCTGTTTAAAAAAAGGACAGTCGTATTTATGGCGTGACAATTTTTCAAACCGGAATTAAAGATGAGTGAAAACTACATCGCACAACGTCGCCGACTCGCATTTGCATCGTCGAGACGTGTCATATCAACGTACGGCAAATTAATTTAGGTAACGGTCAATGTCAGTATTGTTCCGATCATGTTACATAGCGGACACTCTAGATCGATATATAAATTGTAGAATGCGAGAACAGAATAAGAGAGAACAATAAAAATGAAATGACAAAATTTATCATCATATCAACTCCTTTACGAATACTTAGGAATTGTTGATGATAAATTTACACGCGTGCTAATGTGCTTGTTTATAATTTGCTCTTTTCTTGAACGTAATGATTAGTTATATCATTGATATGCGATAATGATCAAGATTTACATAATACATTACATAATTTTTTACTGTTGACGGAAATGTCAATAATTATACAAAGTTAATGACATCATTTATATAATATCATATGATAGATGTAAGTCATTATATGATAGTTAATTATACATATAAAATTTCAATAAATTACATATTTAAAAGAATATTTTAGAATTATATAACTATAATTATATCAAGATGTAACTAGCTAACAGAATAAAAAAGAAATAAAAAAATCTTATGATAAAACATAGACTCGTTTCGAAATATTCAGCTGTTTATTTTGCAAGATAATAATAAATTTTTTATATGATTATATCGGACTTACCAAATAAAAAACTGAATACTTAAAAAATGAATTATAAATTGCAAATATTTATTTCATTATTAAACCTTTTTTATGAATTTTATTAATTAATCACGCATCTTGATTTATAAATCTGTAACACTCTGTACATATCGTTATTTAAGTAGCAATTAATTTTTTTTCTGGCATAAGAATAATTGAATTTTTTTGAAGTAGACAAGCCTGTAAAAATAATCTACACATTTTATCGCACTTGATATGTTTTACGAGCGTTATGAAATACTGCAGGCAGAACGTGTATAGAAATTAGACAGAGAAAAAAATCGCTTTGTTAGTAACACGTTACTGTCTAACGATTCACACATGAAAGTGTGTCAGTGATAAAATATAATATAATTGACTAATATAATTATTTCTTCTTTTCTTCTAACTACGCTACAAGTGGAATAACACTTGCTGATAACAGACCATTCAATTTTATCAGTACTTTAACAACGCACTACGCGTAAAGTGGTTGTAACGTAGTCGCGTTTGCACCGACATTCCTTCATATCTTCACTATTTCTTTTACCTGTACTTACTTGTGTCAACATTGAACTGTGCTAGAATTTTTCTCAGTAACGTCTCGAGTGCGAATTACGTGCGAGTGAAAATATATCAATAAAAAATTCACTCGTATTTGATATCAACGGAAAAGCGACAGGAAAGGCGCGCAGAGAGCACGCACCAATTACCATTTTCGAGATACGGTTGAAATACAGCAGCATGCGATGCTGCTATTATGACAAAAACCTTCGTTGTTAGTAAGACAAGATAATTATTCCGCCGAGCTCGGGCTCTTCGATCATTTAGGCGTGGCAACACATGTTCTCAGTTCAGCGCTATGTGCGGCATATATGCAAGGTATACCTATATGTAGCGTGTCAGGACACGTGGTACGGAACCTCTTGCCAACGGCTATTCATTTTCGCAACCCTCTCCTTCGCCGCGAGGGATTCTTCCCTACAAATTATTCGATACGCTTCGCGAGGCCGAAACGAGTTAACAGCTAACGACGCGTCGCACGCATCGTGATTTTAATGGCGAAAATCATTTATAACGAGCGCTTTTAACATACGTACGCGGTCTGAAATTAGCCGATCGTAATTTCTGCAAACGATGACACTGTCGCGATACATCGGCGAAGTTGCTTTGTAATCGTGCCGGCAATGTGTTTCGCTTCGCATAAGCATTATATACAATCAGTAATAAGGAATACATTTGTCGAGTTGTTTATTATATGTATGTGTGCATATGTATGCGCAAGGCTATACGACACTAATATGTGCATCTTATCTAACCGTTTGATTGTTAACTACATTTTACTTTCAAACGACTCTGATAAATTAATGTTTTAAGATTACATCCAGAAAAACAATTCAAACTCTAACAATAAAGATTAACATAGAAAAATCAGAAGGAAGTTTAACTGTGAACTGTATCAAATTTGTTTATACCAAATTGATCTCAAAATTGCTTTGCTTTTTAACAATAGATTTATAGATGGACGTATTGCAAAATAAGTAAATCATATCGCAGCCATGTCGACCGTAACTTGTGCAGAAAGAAATATCGTGTTTTCAGATGTAATATTTTTATTTTTTATTTCAGCTATTCATCATTTCAACATAAATTGGAGCAAAAATGTCCATGAATATTAAATGCGAACAAAAATTTCGGCCAAAATGGACACTTATTGGAAATCACGAGTGCTCTATTCCATATTATTAACAATGCGCTGTGATGTATGTATTAGTTCCACAAATCGGGAAAAAAATAGAATACAATGTTAACACCGATACGGCGTTTGGACATTTGAACGATTACACAACTCTTTGTTGATTTAATCGATTATCTCGTTTTGCAATTAAAGAAAATTGGTACGACACAACGTAAACAGGATAAACACAATAAATAATTCTAATTGTAATTAGATCAATTTCCCGTATTACATTCTTGTCAAAACATTAAATACGAAGACGACATCGTATACGACGTTTCGTAACGTACTATTTGTCAACGAAGCTATGAATTCACTTATCTTTCAGATAATTACTATTTTTTTGTTCGACACAATCATTAATGTGTAACTTTTTTTAAAACGGGGTCCGATAAGTCAAAATGAGTCTGTTCGAAATGCAAACGGGAATCATTAATATTAGTAGCGCCGATCTCGGACATTATAAACTACTCCAATTTATCTATCTGCTTCCGCCTTTAATCATTGACTCGTTGCATCAATCGTTTACCTTATCAATTCACTCGCGACAATTACATTTTTTTCGGTCCGTATCTGGTGATTCAAAATCTTGTGACATATCGTAAAGTCCGCTTACAAGTATCTTTCGAAATCTTGTGCAAGCGACTCGCACATTTATGCTAATGTCAAAGTGAATACATTTTCGCTGTACAACACCGATGCAAAGCTGCGTATAATTCCAAATTGAAACAGTTGTTTTATGGGCGTAATTTTTTATTTGTAAGCGGACATACAGCTCCGATATCACAACGTCGAACAGAGTGCGTGATTTTAAGAAAAACCTGAGCAGAACTTAAAGTAAATGTGTACTAATTAAAACTAGATGATTTTTATTATACTCTTTCGGAAAATAGACATTCATCTGTCAAAATTAATCTTTTAAATTAAGTAGTTAAAGTCGTTAACGAGTCGTTAAAGTGGTTAAATAGTCGACGATTAAGCGTTTATATAAGAAATTTCAGTTGTAATCAGGTTTCTCTTAAGATCTCGCATCGCACATCGGTCGGTTGCGGTAAGTGCGTGGGATCGAGCGCTCACCTGTAGATTTGGCGATCCTCGGAAGGAGAACTGTGACATGATGTGTCGGCCGCACAGGGCCGTGATGGTCGTGCGCCGCTACGCGATCATCGTTCCAGAAATCCGCGGCATCAGCCGTGAGACGCAGTCACTTTGTGAATCTGTCACACTTTCGTTTTATTTCACCAGCTCGCTCGGATAGCGAGCGCTTTACACGGGGGTGCGTGAACCCTCTCTGCTGCGTGTACGCCACCCTTGCGGGGTGCTGATCGCGCCGACGACACTCCCGCGTGCCCTATCGTCGCGGCTGTACAATTGTACTCGATCCTGTCGGAGGCGGTAGCGGTCCGCTGCCGGCATATGCACCTCTCGCACTGTCACACGCGGTTGAAGATCAAACGCGACCGAGCAGTCCTCCGAACAATCTTTTGTCAGACTACGTGTCGTTATCGTCGCGAGGACACTTGACGCGTGGTAATTCGCGAAAAAATTCGCCGTAGACAATCGTTGACAGTTTTCACAGTTCGCACGCACTGTGTGGCCACACTCGCGTTAACAGTTAGAGTAGGGACTGCGCGGCGATGGTCCTCCCGGAGTAAGAGTGCGAGCCGCCGGCACACTGGAGTGTCACACGAGTCGCGGAAAAAAGGTCGGAGGGCACGGACACGCGCAGCGCGCGATGCGTGGTGCTTGTCGTCGGGGTACGCGCGATGCGGTTAGTCGCGGTGGCTAGTTCACTTCGTTGATCCGATCGACGCGCCAGCTATGATCGGTCGCAACTATCCTCCGAATCGTCGTTTCTTTTCGACGGAATCCAGTCCTCCGCTCGGCGGATAGGAAGGCGGAGGTACGCGGCCCACAAGTGCAAGCGAGACAGCCACAGCGGGCGAAAGCGAGAAGGGTAAATGGGATAGAGGGAGGAGGGAGCGAGAACGAGCGACCGCTAGAGGGACGGGATAGCGGACTCAGCGAGAGAGGAAGGGGGAACGAGAGGGAGATAGAAAGAGAGAGGTAGAGAGGTAGGTTGAGGGTGTCGGAGGGACACCACTGAAAAAGGAGAGGAATGACGGACGAGGACAGAGGGAGAGTGAGAGACTGGAGAATGACGGAGAAAGAGGAGAAGTGAGTGAGTGAGTGAGTGAGAGAGAGAGAGAAAGAGAGGGAGAATGGTGAGGACGACGTGAATCGCGCACTCCGGCCGTCTCTTTTTATCCTTCGCGGCAGTCCTTCCACGCAGCCGGTCGCCTGACGGCCTGCGCAATCACGCGCTTCGAATTCGCGAAAGAGTGGCGCGTTCGTCTTCGAGTTCCTCCTCTTGCTCTCGCTCACCGGTCGCGCTGATCGCGCGCGCTCCGCGAAACCGCCAAGTACGAACTGACGACGGCGCGCGTACGCCGCGTGCACGCTCGCTTTGTGCCCCGCGATGCCACAGCGACAGGAACCAGACACTGTTGTTCTTGCTTCGTCTTACTATCCCCCTCCTATCTCCCTCTCTTTCTCTCTTACTCTGCTTCACTTCTCTGCGAGAAATTCCTTTTTCGAGCGATGTCCAACTACGCGAAGATCCAGCTGAACGTCTATCCGTTATCCTGGAATGCACTTCCACGCGACTGTCACTGGAAAATAAGTTTGCTCCACATTCACCGAGCGCGATAAACACTGGTCCGCGTTCACCGCTGAATGAAATCGCTCCCGTGTCACCCGATTTCGCGCGCGCGCGCGCGCGTTTTCCTCTCGCTCGCAGAAACAACGACGTGGTCCGCGGTCTGTAAAGTTGCCGTCGTACCCACGTTCCGCGAGATGACGGTTGATCGCGGTAGTCGTAGGAGGAGAGGCGACGGGTGTACAGTGCCGGTGGCGCTGGCGGTAACGATAGTATCGCGCTAGTGGTGGTAGCCCGATGACGAGAGAAACGCTCGAGACTCGCCGCTGATGGTGGTGGTGGTAGTGGTGGTGGCAGCGGCAGAGTCGTCGCCGTGGTTCTTTTCCTTCCACGGAAAGGGGGACGATTTTTGCGAGATGGTTTGCCCTCGGCGAGACGGGTGGGAGGGTCCAGGTCGACGCGGCGCGCGGTATAGTGGGGACGCGGGCACCACCTCTGCCGCCGATGCCACGCTCTCGCCGCCACCTCGTATCCGCGCGCGAATTCGTATCCGCGGGTAGCTCTCGTATTAGCACGCCGGGTGTCGCACGCGGCTCTCTTCTCTACCCGCGCGGGTAGTCGGCATCCTCCCTCGTCGATCGGGCACGGAGCCGGCGGTTAGCGTCGGCAAACGCGACAATAAAATATGGTGAGTCGGCCGTCGAGCTCGGCTAACGCGCTCCCTGCGCGTTCTCTCCCCCTCGCATCGCCGAGTCCGCCGCGCGGTCCTCGCCTCCGCCGTCCTTTTCCCTCCTTTTCTCTTTCAGTTTTTCGCCTCTCACTCTTTCGCGCGACGTTCGGATAGCGCGCTCCCGCTTCCTCGCAAGCTCGCCTCGTTCCTCGTGACGCCCCACCGTAGGCGCTTTCTTCCCTCTTCGTTCTCGGCTTTCGTTTCGTGGAGGGGATGGGTTGAATGAGACACGGAGGGGGACGCGACCGGCCGAGATGCTGCCACGCTCCGATATGGTGGGGCGAGAGAAGAGTGAGCAGTTGGCAGTGTTCGGAGGGGGTGAACGAAAGGGGTGTCCGGGGGTGAGTCGGGAGGCACGGAGGTAGAAACTACACGACAATTTTAGTTCGATAGATCCCGAAGTTTAGCCTCGGCGGCGCTGCTTTACTTGCCACTGACTTCTTCCCGGTAGTTTGTTCGTTGCCCTCTCCCCCGTCGCTGCTGGCTGCCTCTCCACCTCCTCCTCGGACACGACCGCACACTCCGACCCGTGTCTCCCACCATCGCGGGCCCCGCCGTCTCGTCTTCTTTCTTTCTCTTTCTCGATCGTCCTCCTCCTCCTCCTCCTCCGCTTCGCGAGGACAAGATCGCCGACTATCTCGGTGCCCCTTCCTGTGCCCGGCTTTAGCTCCGATGCCGCGCTACCTGCCACTCCTCCTTATTCCACGCACTACGCGACACTTTACTACACCAACTTCCGTCTCTCTCTTTCTCTCCTTGTGTCTCTACATCCTGTCTCCTTTTCTCGCTTCCTCCTCGTCTCTCTTTCCTTCTCTTCGTCTGACCGCCTCTCTCGCTTTCGCCCGTGCGTCGTTCATAGTCTCGTTTCCACCTGCAGCATCGTCCGTCTCGCTCGTGCGTTTACATCGCGAAATGCACGATCGTCACTCCGTCGAGCGTATTACACGAACGCGTTTACGCGGAGTACTACGCTCGTTCCGACAGTTTAACGCAACAATGTCGCACGAACGTCCCATCGCGCGCCCCGACCGTCAATCATCTCGTCAAATTGCTACGCCGAGATTCCTCAGCTTCGCGTCACTATTCTTTCGCAGAATTCAGAATGAACGAACCAGCGAATAAACGAGTAGATTTTTTTTTTTTTTCTTTTAAAGATGCTCTGATTATCCAGATAAAACTGTCTAGTCGAAACAACGCGTAAACGTATACCTGCGATATCCGAGCGACAATCGCAGTGACAACGACGACAAGAACCTCGGCCGAGACGTCGTGAGAATGTTTTGCACAGTTCTTTCAAAGGAACTTGTCTCTTCGTGCGTACTTGTCGCCCTCCTGGCGCGACCACCGACGAAAGAGGCGGATAGGGGCGGTTGAAGGTGGCGGGTTGCGGCCACGGAAGTATATCGCGTCGTCGACGCTGGTGGGGGGTCTTTGCCGAAGGGAGCAAGGGGCGAGAAAAAAAGACGCACTGACATTTTGCGCGCACGCGATCTATGTAGGTATACGCGCGCATACCTGCCGACGACGATATTTTTGCAGCAGGCACACACACACACACACACACACACACACGAAGGTTTACATCGAGTGCATCCCACGTGTGTTGGTGCCGGTGGCGGGTGAGAGGAGAGAGAGAAAGAGAAAGAGAGAGATCACGGAGAGAGGTGTCGGATAAATCATCCCCTTCCACACTTCTTTCGCCTCCCCTCTAGGTTACCACGGTGGGTGCGGAGCTCGGCTTTTTTCCCCTCCGTGGGCGCGGACTAACCTCGCCCCGCCTTCATCTCCTTCGTTCTCGCCCCCTCCATGGGGTGGTTGTTGTAGCACAACGGCGAGAGTGACTACCACTGAAACTCGTGACGCCGTCGCCTCTCTCTCGTCGTCACCCCGCGAGCGACGTGCACAGCACGCCGAGCTGCTACTTCGCGCTCTCGCTCGCCGCAGAGCGACGGAAGAGCTCGTCGAGGAAGCGAGACCGCTGACGTCCGGGACGGGCAGAGCGGGACGAAGAAGAAAGAGAGACAGAGAGAGAGAGAGAGAGAGAGGTGGCCAGCGGATTGGAGAGAGGGGTACACACCGAGATGTGAAACATTAGTGTACCGTTTGTTAACACCGCGGTCTACACACAATCGCGCGCAAACTCTCCCTTTCCCCGTCCGCGTCCGGCCCTCACCCCCCCCTCATCATCCCCCTTGGCGCTTTCTTTAAGAGGGCGTTGCTGCTGGTACGTGCACGGACGAGCGCGTGTGAGCGCCTTCCTTCTTCGTGAGTGCATCGCGGAATGTCGGCACGTAGGAAGCCTCTCCCCATCGTCGTTCTCTTCTCGTGACGCTCTTCTCTCTCCTCCTTCCTGCACACCTTCTTTCTTCGACTTCAACTTACCCACCATCTTACCGCTTTGTCCATCCATCCATCCTTCCATCGGTGCGTTCCTACGACGCTGACTTTCCGCAAATGCTGCTCCGAATTTGTCGACGTGCCCAGAGATCGTTGACTTTGAACCGCAACTCCGAGAGCTAAAGCGGCCGACCGATGTTGAGCGTCGATATTGAATTTCCTGTGCGTGCGTGTGCGTCGAAGATCCACGACTTCGACTTTGGGACGATTTGTGGTGGAGAAATGCGACGGGGTGCAGCGATCGTGGTCGTGATATCGCTATCAAGAATATTGACGATAAATCGTGATAATGATTCAAACATCTCGGGAATTGTCACCGTTTTTGATAAAGCGCGAGTTAGAATAACGACAATTCCGGCGTGTGCATCGTGCTGCATCGCGTTTGGTGATAGATAATTACTGAATTATTTACTATGTGATTCGAGATAACAGAAATTTTGGTTGGTTCTACATCCGACTTTTTTATCCGTATCTTGACATTTGCATCGATTATGAAAATTTTTAACATTTTTTTATCTAGACAAATGTAAATTTGTTTTATTCTCGTAAAATATGTTAATTCTTACTGTTTTGTGATCTTTTAAGATTTCTTTATTTGAAAAGCGATCGCTGTATTTAGACCTCGTTAAACACGTATTCTTGATATGCGTCGCGATATTATTAACTCATAGTTAACTTATTGTGATGACAAGACATCGCTAAGATTGTCGCATCGCAGAATTTTGTGCGGATAGATATTTTTTTATCGCAGTCTTTATTTTCATGTGTTTTAAATAATAAGCAAAATTCTAGTACAATTCATATTAAAAACTTAGTAATCGAGTTTATAATCAGAATTTATTATCAATATTAAAATAATCAATATTCTCAAAACGAATTTAACAATTTTGTACAATCATCGAATTATGCCTATAAGACTCGGTGTTTAAGCAACAATGCCGAACATTCGTGAGTGCATAAACTCGCACGGAAACGATATAGACGTTAAGTAGCGCGTTTGACAATTTGGCAGACATACAGAATGTTAGATGCGATGCGGATCAGCGATGCGTATCGACGATACACGCAAATGTGTAAAACACTATGACATGTCGTACGAGATGATACGATACATGCGTGTAAAATAGACGTGTCCCTTTGCGCGTGAATTGATCCAGCGGGATCTATATGAAAGCTGTCAGTCTTGGCAATAACCCGCAATTATAGATCGCGCGCGATAAGTAAAGTGCACGTAACACCAAAGCGAAAGGGACTCTGTTCGACATCGCGCAAACTGCGGGCTCATCGCATGTTCTGCGGCAGCTCGCAATTATTCGCACGGAACATCACGTATATGTTAATGCTTAGCCGACATTGAAAGCGTTTCCCTCGGCGGGGAACAGGTGCCTTGTATAATTCTGCGACACACGCAATGAATTCGCATCGCATCGATTCCATCTATCCCTAGTCCGATCCCTGAATCCTACGATGACGATAATGAAGGGTTGCGATATCTCAAATAAAAGGAGAAGACTAATTACTAGTAATTCAATCCAATTACGATTACATGTTCAGTACATAAACACACAATCAATCATAAAATATAATATTTAGATGTAAGTAATTTTCTGCTATCTTCCATCTTTTACATCCTTTCGTGCTTAGCGCTATTTTTTGCACTATTTTTGCACCGAGTTATATCTATATACCTGGATACCTGGATACTAAGAATAGAACGTCTTTTACATTATTATATGTAATTTCCTGCTTCTTTTAAAAATCTTCGAAGCGGACGCCATTTACTTGGAGATAAATCGCGAGATCAGATCCGATTGGGGGCTGATTATATGCGGTTCCGATGGGACCGCTCGATATTTTCTCATATAGACGTCATTCCACGGCTCGTGATCAGACAGGACGACAGTCCGAAGTGTTCGGCGACCAGTCATGGGCAAGGTCGTCAGGGCTGGTTTGGGCAGGTGGCAGCACGACTCGACAAAGGACGGTTATAGACCCTTTTCGTCGGCACCGTGGTGGAGCAAGAAAAGTGGAGGGGCCTAGTGTTACCAGGGAACCGGTAGAAGGGGGTGCCCCTTCCGCTGTGGCCATTCGA